GCAATTTTCCTCCTGAATGGTGCAATTTTCTTCGGAGTAGACCTCGTAAGGCAAATGAAAACCCCGATGAAGATTGATACGCTGTCCGCATCCAGCTACAGCGGCACTGAAAGCACAGGCGTGATTAAAATTAATTCCGATCTGAAAATCAACATCACCGGCAAACACGCCCTTATTGTTGAGGATATTGTTGATACCGGGCTTACCCTCAAAAGTATTGTAAATTTTGTCGGGCAGAAAAAACCTGCGGATCTGAAAATTGTGTGCCTGCTGGATAAATACGAACGCCGCGTGGTTGACAATCTGACGGTCGATTACACCGGCTTTAAAATTGAGGATAACTTTGTGGTCGGTTACGGTTTTGATTATAACGAAAACTTCCGTACATTAGATCAGATATACATATATGGCGGAGAAGGCTGACAAAGCCTGAATTCCTTTCACGTTTCGCTCCAATCATTATGGCAGTTTCTGAGGAACACACACAGACGGCGAAAACTGCCATCGGACGTGTTATTAAATCTTATCCGTATATCAGCGGATCATTTCTTTTGATGTATCTGCCGATATTTTTTGGCTTCTTCGGCAATACACTGATAACCTATATCGGGTTTTTGCTGTTGACGGTTTCCGGTTTTGTTCTGTACCGCCAACAGAAACTCAGCGGATTACTGACCGCTTTGACTTCATTTATCAGTTTTAGCCTCTACCGGAAAGCTTATCTGCTATTTGTTTTGCTGTGGCTTGTCAACACCGTGCTGTTTTTCTTCACAATGGAATACAAAGCGTGGGATACCGGAATTATTCAGAATCCGCTTGTGTCGTATTTTTATACCGGTACATTCTACAATTATTTTCTGGATAAACATGGGATTGCCGACCACTTTTACCCGTTTTACATCCTGTTCACACCGCTGTTTAATATTTACAACAGCTTTATCTGGCTGATTTTATTCCGACTGATTTCTTACCTGCTCTGTCCGTATCTGCTGTATAAAACCGGACAGAAATTATTACCGTACAATTCGAAACTGGTATACGTCGGACCAATCATGTGGATGTTTCATGAGTATACCGCAAATACTCAGTTTTTTGATTTTCAGCCGTCCACACCGGCAACCGCTTTTATCATTGGCGCATTTTACCTGCTCATTACCGGGCGTTATTTGTGGGCACTGCTTCCGCTGATACTTATTTTATTCTTTAAGGAAAATCTTGCGCTCGTCTGGCTGTGTGCCGGTGCATATATCTTTTTGTACCGGAAGAAGTATATTTTAGGCTCTGTATTGTTCATCGCCGGAATTGCTGCAGGCATATTGATAACATCTGTTGTTATGCCTGCATATAGTGCCGGCAGCACATTCGGACACACCGGACGCTTTGCCGTTTTTTCCCACATTCCGGAAAAACTGCAAATGTTATTTCTGGCATTTGCTTCAGTCGGTTTTATCCCGCTGCTGTCGCCTCGTTCAGTATTATTTATCCTGCCCGCTTTCGCCCTCAATCTGGTAACTAATTTCACCAATATGTTTGGGTTTCATTATCACTACATGGATATGCCGTTTGCAGTAATGTTTATCGGCGTGCTATACGGACTGAAAGCCTTTGCAGAAAATGATACTCCTCTGAACAGGTTTTCCCGATTATCAATAGATAAAAAAAATACCGTCTATGCAGTTGCCCTGTGGTTTTTCATATCACAAAATACTCTGTTGCCGACACACGGCATCCGCAGAACGATTGGAAACCTCGGAGATATTCCTTATTTTATGGAGATCGAGCAACTCAAAAAAAAGTTAAACCGGGAGGATGAAGTCTATACTATGTCTTCACCGGTGCCGTATTTTGCCTATATGCCTTACCTGCACGAACTGAAACAATTGGAAAACCGTACCGTGCAGGGTTATGGCTATAAAGATAAACATTTTTATGTGATTACCGCCAAAGACGGACGCTTTGACTATAAAAACGCAGATCGGAACAGGGTTACAGACAAGTGCTGGACAGCATGATTAAAGACGGAACACTCAAGCTGACAGACACAGGTAATTTGTTTAATGTATACTCATCACGTCCGTAATAATTATAAAGAATTTATGGATTACACATTGTAAAAACTGGCTTGCCGTCTTTGAACGTTGACTTGTCAAACCGTACCGCTGACTTTTAATATACCGCCGATAAATAATGCCCCGCTTGTCCGTTATCATCCCCACGTATAAAGAAGCAAAGAATATATCCCCGCTTTATGAAAAGCTGAAAGCGGTACTGGTGAACTTGGATTGGGAACTGGTATTTGTGGATGACCACTCGCCCGACCTGACCTACCGCACAGTGGGTGAACTCTGCGCGCAAGACAAGCGGGTACGTCTTGTACACCGCATCCACCGAAAGGGGCTGTCTTCCGCTACGATTGAGGGGATGCTGTCGGTAACATCAGAATTTATCGCTGTTATGGATGCGGATATGCAGCATGATGAAGCGGTTTTGCCGAAAATGCTGCAGCAACTGACGGATAATCCGGGAACAGACATCGTGATTGGCAGCCGCTACACAGACGGAGGCAGTACCGGTGAGTGGTCTGCCCTGCGCAAACTGGTGAGTAAAACCGGTACAGCACTCACCGGATTTTTCGGAGTGCGCGCCACAACAGACCCGATGAGCGGTTTTTTTATGCTGCGGGCATCTTTTTTGGAAAAAATCGCACCCAATCTGTCGGGAATTGGATTCAAGATTTTACTGGATATTATCATGTCCGCAGGCAAAAACATCAAAACCGCAGAAGTTCCCTATACTTTTAAAAAACGGGTACACGGAGAAAGCAAACTGGGCATTGATACCATTTTGGATCTGGGTTTTCTGCTCGCAGACAAACGCTTCGGTGCACTTTTACCGTTAAGGTTTCTGCTGTTTATTCTGGTGGGCGGCATCGGGATGCTCATCCATCTCGGGATTATGTACGCACTGGAACAGTTTTACGGACACCGTTTTTTTGCCGACAATCAGCTGATTGCCGGTACTGTCACGATTGCGTTTAATTATCTGCTGGACAACCTGATTACCTTCAAAGAAAACCGCCGGCGCGGTGCGGCATTTTTCTTCGGGCTGATTAAATTCTATCTGGTTTGCGCCATAGGACTGCTGGGCAATGTACTTATCTCCGTCAGTATATACAACTATGAATTTCACTGGGTATTGGCAGCAATGGCAGGCGCATTTTACGGCGGGTTCGTCAATTTTTCTCTGTCCCGCATTCTGATTTGGAAAGACCGCTGACTTTACAGCAAACCCCTCACCGGAAAACAAAATAAGTAATTTCCCATAAAGATGCTGTATAAATTACGCACACCGGTTGCGGGAGTTATCATATTGTCTGCTCTCCTTCACCTGCTGACCGCGATATTCAGTATTGGGTATATCCACCCCGACGAACATTTCCAGATACTGGAATTTATCCGGTACCACTCCGCACCGGATGCACCGATGGTATGGGAATTTCATAATAAAATCCGGTCTTATGCACTGCCGGCATTTTTGTATTTCATACAACAGGCACTTTGGTATATCGGAATTACAGATGCTTATGACACCGTTTTGGTCTTCCGCCTGATCAGCAGCGCATTAAGTTTCAGCGCAACGCTGCTCTTATTAATCACAGCACAGACATGGCTGAACACCCGGAAGAGCAAAGCAAACAACAGCAAATATTTGCTGCTGACTGCAGGACTGCTTTTCCTGCATTACCAAATCCCGTTTATCCATGCGCGGGTGCAAAACGAAAATTGGGGTGCATCCTTATTTATCATTGGTACGGCACTGCTGTTCTTTAACAGACGCGCAACCCAAAAACACATTTATACCGCCCCGCTTGCTGCCGGTTTTTTACTCGGGCTGGCATTTTTATTCCGGTTCCAGATTTTAGTGATGATCGGTCCGCTGATGCTGTGGTTATGGGTCTTCGGCAAACGGCACTTCAGTGAATTGTCCCTTATTTCCGGCGGGATTATTCTGGCGGTTATCGCGGGCGTATTTGTTGACCGATGGGGCTACGGCAGTTATACGTTCAGCTTCTGGAATTATTTTAAGAGCAATATCCTTAATTCAGAACTGGATAAGCACGGCGTAGCACCATTTTATTACTACATTACAAATTACATCGGGCGGGACAATAACATCATCAATCTGACGGTTGTTTTGTTTACCTTCAGCGGCTGGCTGATGTTTCCCAAGCATGTGCTGACATGGATAACAGCACCGTTCTTTCTGATTCACTCGTATATCGGACATAAGGAAATGCGGTTTCTGATACCGATTTTGCCTTTCTGTCTGCTTTATATTCCGTTGATGGTTGCCCATCTGCAGGATAAGGTACCAGGTGTTTTTAAAATTCTGCACTTAAAAACAGCAAAAGTAATATTTTATCTGATGATGTTCAGTAACGCGATAGGTTTACTCATTCTGGCATTCAATCCGGCGAATAAAAAAATCGGACTGCTGGAATTTCTGAACAGCCGTCCGGAAATCCGGAAAGTATACTTCATTGAGCATGACAACTTAAATATAAGCGACCTGCAAAACCATCATTTTTATCCGCCGATACCGGAATTTATCCCGACACCGCCCGCACTTATTCAGAAACAGGATAGTTCTTTTCACCTTGAAGAAAATTATGTATTTACTTCGTCTTATCAGGACTATATAGACGTGCTGCAAAAGCGGCGGTGTGATATTTTGTATCAGCGCGACATGATTTACCTGATTCATGACCTGTATTGCCGGCTGTACTTACTACAGCCACAGAAAGGGCGGGAAACACTGTTTACACTGTTTAAGTGTTACCCGTCCGGGCAATAAATAAAAAGGAAGAACATAATTAAATTGCCCTGCCATAGTGATTCAATTTTTTTTCAGAAAGTCCGGCGGGTAAAAAATTGATTTTTTTAATTGACACAGTTGCGCAGTTGACGTTATATAAATAGCTTGATTCAAATTACTCTGTTGCGGGAGTAGCTCAGGGGTAGAGCACAACCTTGCCAAGGTTGGGGTCGCGGGTTCGAATCCCGTTTCCCGCTCCATATCTTTTTGGTGACGTAGCCAAGCGGTTAGGCGGGGGTCTGCAAAACCCTGAACGTCGGTTCAAATCCGACCGTCACCTTTGTCTTCAGACACCGAAGCATATTATAATACCTGCTTTTCCCGATGAGTCCTCCGCCTAACAGGACTCATCAGTCGAAATGGGATTTTGTCTTCAAAAAAATTCATCCCTCCGTTATCTTTATTCAGCGGTGACTTCTTCTGTTTCAGGTTCAATATTCTCTGCATATTTGCTGTTTTCAGTTGTGTCTTCACCCTGACTGCCTGATATATTATCGGCGTTATCATCTCCGGCAACATCCGGAGCAATATACTCCGCGCGCCAGCTAAGCGGCATATCAGTGACCAGAATAAAATCAACATCATCATCTTCGGGGGACGGAACATCAACTTCACGCTTGTGAGTCGTATCAGAATCCGGTTTGGCGGATTTAATACCTGCGCGCGCCGGTTTCATATCTTCGCTGTGGATTCGGGCAATTTCGTTTTTACGGTAAATAAAGCGGTATTTTTCCGGTGTAAGATACTTCTCCAGACAATTCAGCATTTCTTCAGTCCGCATCAGAGCAACGCGGGTATCCATATAAATCACTGCACCGTCATCTGTTTTATTTCGGATTATCAGCCGTAAATCGCCCGCAGGATCTGTAAATTGTTGTGATAATTCATGCAGTAACGCCTCCGGAAGCTGGTCCGTCTGAATATATATTCCTCTTGCGTAATCCAGTCTGTATTTCTTAAAGGGAATAATACCCGTAATAATCATTTTAAATGCTTCGGCATCGGCAGTAATCTGACCGCGGACAATCATTGGTGCATCGGTACGCAGTAAATGTGCTGTTTCTTCAAATGCAGATGACCAGATAACACCTTCCATCTCACCCAGCGTGTCTTCCAGAACAGTCACGGCAAATTTTGCCCCTGATTTGTTCATCTTTATGCTGAATGAGGAAATTACACATAAAAACAACATATCCGGTGATCGCTCGCCCGGGCTCAATCCTGCTGTATGCTGTTCAATCCGGGAAAAATCCAGAATACCGCTGATATCCTCTGCTTCTGCGGCCACACTGTCGAGCAGGTGTCCGGAAACCGTAAAACCGAGTGCATTTTTTTCATTCAGCAGTCTGGTGGAAACATCCCAGTCCAAAACATCGGGCAGGTCAATTGCCAGAGAGTTTTTCAGTTCATCCTCACCCAACAGTGCAAACTGATCTTCAGATGACGTATGGATAACCCCCGAGATAAAACTCTGCAGCAAATGGATATTTTCAAATAACTGCCTGCGGTTTTTACACAAAGAGTCCAGTGTGCCACTTTTAATCATTGCCTCAAAAGCAATGCCGTTAATCACATGATCTGCATGAGAGAGTGCATCTGTCAGAGATTTATATTTTCCATGCAGGTTACGGTAATCCAACACATGCTGCACAGCACCTTCACCCACAGCCTTTCAAAGCGGCAATCCCAAAGCGCACTGCACCGTTTTCTGCGGTAAAATATAACTGACTTTCATTAATATCCGGAGGAAGTACCTGAATCCGCATGGCACGGCACTCACGAACAAGTCTTGCCATATCCTGCGGACTGCCGGCAGCAGAAGTCATCAGCGCGCACATAAATTCAGTCGGATAATGTGCTTTGAGGTATGCCGTCTGAAATCCAATCACCGCATACGCCACCGAGTGAGATTTGTTAAATCCGTATCCGGCAAATTTATCAATCAGGTCAAATACCTCCTCCGCGATTTCCTGTTTCACACCGTTTTTCAGACAGCCCTCTACAAAAATTCCTTTCTGCTGTGCCAGCAGGTCTGCTTTCTTTTTACCAATCGCGCGCCGAAGCTCATCCGCCTGCCCAAGTGAAAAGCCGCCCATCAATTGCGCCACCTTCATTACCTGTTCCTGATAAAGAATCACACCCTGTGTTTCTTCCAGAACTTCCGCCATACTCGGATGCAGATAAGATATTTCCCGCCGTCCGTGTTTACGGTTGATATAATCATCTACCATCCCTGACCCGAGCGGACCCGGACGGTACAGCGCATTGAGTGCCGCAATATCCTCAAAGCAGTTAGGCTTCAATTGCCGTAACAGCCTGCGCATACCCGAGGACTCGAGCTGGAAAATCCCTGTTCCTGAACCCTGCTGGAGTAATTCAAAAACTGCCGGGTCGTCAAAGTTTAGACCGGTGATGTCCGGCACTGGTTTTCCCGCTTTACGCAACAGGGCAAGCGTATCATCAATAATACTTAGGTTCTTCAGCCCCAGAAAATCAAACTTAACCGCGCCCTGCTTTTCCGCATATTCCATTGTATACTGCGACTGGCGCACCCCCTGCGGAGATACACATACGGGCAGATAATCCGTAACATCAGAGTTCATAATAATAACCCCGGCAGCGTGTGTCGTCAGATTTGACCCCATCCCCTCTACTTCGGTGGAAATGTGAAGCAGCTGCCGTTCGATCTCTCTGCCGTTTTCCAACATATTCCGCAGCAACGGCTCCTTTTCAAAGGCAGTTTGCAGGGTAATTTTGAGATCATTGGGTATCAGTTTGACAATACGGTCGGCATCCGAATAACCAATTCCCAGCACGCGTGCCACACCACGCACGGCACCCTTTGCCTGCAAAGAACCAATCGCTGAAATCTGACAGACATGGTCATTTCCGTATTTTTGACGGACGTACTCAATGACGCGGTCGCGCCCGTTTGCCTCAAAGTCAATATCAAAATCCGGCATAGAGCGGCGCGCGGGATTAAGAAACCGCTCAAACAGCAGTCCGTAACGCACCGGATCCACATCAGTAATCATTAAAGCGTATGCCGCAATAGACCCCGGTCCGGAACCCCGCCCCGGACCGACAGATACCCCGTTTGCCTTTGCCCATTTTACAAAATCCGCGACAATCAGATAATAACCCGGATAACCCATGTTATTGATAATTTCGGTTTCGTAGTGCAGCCTCTCAAAATAAATGCGGCGTTTTTCTGTCTGCTGTTCGGGCTGCCAGCCGTATATGCCTGTCAGTTTTTGCAGGCGGATGTCCAAGCCAACTTCACAATCCTGCTTAAACTGTTCTTCAATTGTTTTACCCGCTTCACAGGGATAATCCGGCAGATAATCTTTTTGCTTGTCCAGATTTACCTCACACATATCGGCAATATATCCGGAGTTCGTCAGACACTCTTCCGGGTAGCCGCGGAATGTCTCCGCCATTTCTGACGCGGTTTTGAGATAAAACTGGTTTGTATCCGGCTTTTCACAGCCCGGGTCGGTAATTTTTTTCTGCTCACCCATCAAATGAAGAATGTGCGCAGCAAATGCTTTATCAGCGGTCAGGTAAGTGCAGTTATTGGTAGCTGTCGCAGGAATCCCCAGCTTATCTGCCAGACGCAGTAATTCACGGTTAAGCAGGTCATCACGCTCTGCTCCTGAAAGCTGCAGTTCCAGAAAAAAATAATCTCCGAAGACTGAGCGGTAGTATTCAGTCTCCTGCAATGCTTCATCTGTATCACCTTCCGCAAGCAGTTTATTAATACGCGATTTCAAACCGCCGGACAGCATAATCAATCCTTCGGAATGCTCTTCCAGCATTTTATCAGTCACCGTTGGCACACTATACACCAAGCCCTCCGTATATGAACGGCTGCTGATTTTCAGCAGGTTATTGTATCCCTGCCGGTTGCGACACAACAGCACAGCTTCAGAGTAAACCGGCTCATGCGGGCGCGCATTCGGCAACACACGCATGGGCATATATATCTGTGTGCCGATAACGGGTTTGAGTCCGGCCGCTTTCATTTCTCCGTAAAACTCAATTGCGCCGAACATATTGCCGCTGTCCGTGATGGCGCAGGCATCAAATTCACGCGCCCTGAGTGCAGACGGCAGTTTTTTCACGGCAATCAGTCCCTCCATCAGCGAATACTGCGTATGGAGATGAAGATGCACAAAGCGGGAACTCATATCAAAATTTCAAAAACAGGATTAAATGCAGAGCGGGGCCATACACACTATCATAAAGAGAGTTGTGGGAAACGGACAGCTTAAATTGACCGCAATTTCAGAATGTTATCCAATAATAACTCATAAATAATTATGACCGAACAATGTTATCTTACCGTTTATTTTTATTTGCAACTATTGCGGATAAAAAAGTTTTGATATAAATAACATCTGGTCTGGTTCCGTTTTTTATTTTTTTACTTTAGAAATGCGCCAACGCCTCTATAAAAAAAAATTATTTGTAGTATTAAGCATTCTGTTTCTGTACCCATCTGCATTTCTTTATGCGCAGGAAGAAAAAGCGACTGAAGCAAAAAATACTAAAAGTGAAGAATCCGCTGAAGATAAAGAAAAAGATGAACCGGTAAAAACCGGCTGGAATTTTAATATATTCCTCGGCGGCGGTCAGGCATCCTCCAAAAGCAATGACGACACTGCCAAAGCAGACAGTCTGACCCAAGAAAAGCCGTCCTCTGCCCGGAACCAGCTCATCCCTACAGGAGAATTAAATATCAGGTACGTATTCAGCGAACAATGGGAAACAGCACTCAAGCTGGGACAGGAAAGAAATGCATCGGTTAAATATACATTCGGCAGTCCGATCAGTTTTACTAAAAAATCAGACGTCACCTTCAGTGTGGGGATTAGAAACTATAAATATTGGTCAAATCCTTATAGAACGGGCAGCGACAGGAGGGAACGGTTGCCTTACACCCCTGTATATTCTGTTGAACTGGGGGGAATCGGGCCGTTCAAACTCGGCTACAGCTACATGTATCAGGATTATGATGACCGTGATTTGGAAGAAGTCCGCACAGATATATACGGTGCGCCGGTTACGGACAGCGAGCGGGGTGATTTAAAGCGGACAGGCGCGGTGACTAAATATTCAGTCAGCACAGGCTTTCCGGTATACAAAAAAGAGAAGGATATTATGGTCTTTATTCTTGGCGGTTATAACATACAGGAATACAGCGCGGAGGGGGAAAGCGAAGCGTATACGCATCCGGGTTATAATCTGGGCATCAGAAGCGGGCTATGGGATTTTTCA